AGGTGGTTGATGTAACGCACTGCCGAGACATTGTCCATCCTGAGCATCACGCAACAATTCGCACGTTCTGGTGTAAGGCTGCGAATGGCGAACGCCGCTCCCAATAGTTCTAGGCAGTTGATATGGAGCGTTTGCTCTTGGTCTGACCATCTGCCTCCGTTAGATGCGGTACCACAACTCACACCCCAGCCGTGTAAGCTGGCATTCGATTCTATCACCACGTCTGGAATGGAGCCGAAAATAGCTCTCCCGTTCCAGGCGTCCATGTGGGCTAACCACCAGGTCAATTCGTCCTTGGACTCCTCGTCCAGTTTCACTCTCATCTCGTAGGACTGGCCTGCACGCAGATGAGAGCCCTTCAGACGTTAAACGGCCCGATAGTGGAGTGGTCCAGGGAATATTGCCTGTATCGAAGCGGCCAGCAGACTGATCACTCTTGCCAGATGACGGAGTGAGATATCGTCTGCCCGTAGTGTACGCCTGATTTGCTTCCTGATGGCCTTCATTTTGGCCTCCGGAAGAAACAAGAACTGTTGGATGGAGTCCACGGTAAACCCCAGGAACTCCAGAGAATGAGTGGGAACTAACATCGACTTCTCCCAATTGATGAGGAAACCTAGGTTCTGGAGTATATATAATCAGCCGTACTCCACGGCTTCGGAGGAAGGACACCGCCGGTTTCATGACCTTGGTGAAACACCAGGGAGCCGAAGAGAGCACGAATGGCAGGCATGTAAACTTCCATCGTCTTCCCTTCAAGGTGAACTGGAGGAAATCCCTGTGTCCCTCGGTTATAAGGACCGTGAAATAGGCGTCCTTCAGGTCCAGTTTGGCCAACCAGTCGGATTCCTGTAGGAGAGCCCGAATGCAATGTATGCCCTCCATTTGGAAGTGCTGATACTGAATGAAGGCGTTGAGAGGATGGAGGTTGATGACGGGACGCACACCTCCTCCCTTCTTCAGTACCAAAAAGAGGTTGCTCGTAAACACTTGCTGAGTGAACGGAACCTCTTGTATCGCCCCTTTGGCGTAAAGTTCTACGATCTCCGAGGAGATCAATTCTTCCTGGTCTCGAGCGAGAGAGAGTTCCCTTGGGACAGAAATCTGAACAGGCATGGACACAAAGTCTATGTGATAACCCCTTACTGTGTGGAGAACCCACGCATCTGTCGTTAAGGCGGCCCACGCCCTGTAAAACTTTGCCAATCTGCTTGCCACCCGCTCCTGAACATAAGGAGAAACAGGGGTACTCACCATAAGGGCGTCTGCCGGACGTGGCCCTTCTCGGATAGCGGGGATTCCATGGCCTCCCCCTGGATGGGAAGAACGGAGCCGGTCTGGAATCCTGGAAGGTTCTAGAAGGGAAGAAGGAGCCTCTTTGCGCCCAAAACAAGCCCCTGAAACCACGGCCGGGTGGACGGCTCCAGTTGCGCCCGGCCCCTCCAAAAACCTTAGGGGAAAACACCCTCTTCATATTAGCCTGGGCCTTATCGATGGCGGTGAATGTCTTTACATAAGATCCCAAGTCCTTGACGAGGGTCCTGGTTCTGATATGGCCATGGTAGCCAACTTCGGGTCTGTCTTAAGCAGGATAGCTTTCCTGCGCTCGGCTGATACTGCCATATTGGCGTTGCCGAGTAAACAGACGGCCCGTTGTATCCAGCCAATCGCTACGTCCAGGTTGAGTTCAGACTCGCCCGATTTTGCGGACTCTAACAGCTCGTAGGCCTTAGATAATGGGCCGAGCATGTCCATGATTTTATCTTGGCAACTCCTTAGGTAAAAGTCCTTTTTTTCGGTTTCCAACCTGACTTATTTAGAAACTGTGCGATCTATGGATCGACCTCGGGCGTCTTGCACGCCGATCCTGGCACTGAAGGTCGAGGGCATTCTGCCCGCAATTTATTACGACCTTCTTTAGAAAGTGGTGTGCGCATCCTGTGCGTGATATAACGGGCAATGTGTTCAGGTGGCTCCCACTCAGCCGAGCGGGGATGACGTAGGTCATCCGGGTCAAACAGGGGGTTACCCTGGGGATCCAGAAGCACTGCGCCACTGCCCGTTCCCTGAGCAGCAACGCCTGGGGCAGGGGCAGCACCCCCAGTACGGCAGGGGAAGCTCCCTCCTCCGAGCCGGCCTCGTCATAAGAGGCATAATCCATCTCCTCAGGCTCATCCCCCTCACCCTGGTTGCTCTCCGACCCTTCTTCACGGGATCTAGCCCGTTTCCATAATCTGGCCGTTTTTGCCCAACCAGGGGCTCTTTTGCGCGGTGGTAGCGTGCCATTTGTGACTGCCAGAGGCGAGTCCGTCAAGGCAGGTACAACCTGCGTCATGGAGTGGGAGGAGAGGTGTTTGCTCTTCACCACGGCCACGGGCTATAGGTGAGGCGGGGTTAAGGGCAGGACCCGCTCCCTGTAGGGTAGGGGTAGCCAGCTGGGGTAGTAATATGGACTGAGCCAGCGTTTGAGAAAAAGAGGAGGACATGGCTCCCATAGCAGAGGCGAGCGCTCTCTGTAGAGAGGACGCCATGGTGGAGTCCAACAGGGCTTGGAACTCCTCAGATACAGCGTGTTCCTCAGGGGCCCCCATAGGGAACTCGTCACTGTGGCCCTCAGGCCCATCACATTTATCCTGCATAATGCAGGTGATGTACAAGTTAAGGGCAGAGAAAAAACAGTCAGTCTTCAATAGAAAAAACTAATGGCGAAAATAAGTAACCAGTAAAAGAAAATGTCAGGGTTTAGTAACCCAAAGTAACAGAAAAGTAAAGGTTAAGTGTATAAAACAGAAACTTTATAATGAATAACCACAGAAAAATTAATATACCAGTGAATACACACAAAAAACATGTATATATAAGAATATGGCATAAATACATAACACAACATGTGATAGCAATATGTGTGATGTGCCCAGGGAGAGGGGAAGACAGAGCAGGGAGTCTGCCCTGCGTTCCGACCGAAAACGAGGGCGGGGAGGAGAACAAAGATGGCCGCTGCACGAGCAGCACTGTGAGGCAGAGAGCCGGGGGAGGGATGGGCGAACACGCGGCAGCCGTGCTGCCCCACCCTAACACGCTCGGGAGCCGCCGCCGAGCTAAGCGGAGGCTCCCCGGCGTGTACCCGAGCAGGTCGGGTGAAAAAACACTCCCCGCGATTGCCGTGACCGGTGGGGGGAAGGAGGGATGGAATGAGGGAACAACGAGCGGTCTAAATGCAGCTCGCAGGCAGCAACAGGATCTGGGGCACACCACAGAGGAGAAGCAACACAATTAAAGCAAAATGAAACGTTAAATAAACACAAGTCCATGCTAAGCCACTAGGGCTAGAGAGAAAAGGGACCAAAAGGCAAAGAATAGTTATAAGAAACATAGTAATCACAGAGCACAAACAAATAGTACTTAACTGGTCTGAGAGCAGCAAAGAAAGAGGAGGATTGTGGGTGCATCAAGCATATTATAGTCACTTCCTGTGTTATGTGATTGGCTGTTTGAGCACTATGTTTTTTGTTCATTTCAGTTACTTATTCATCTCTATTTCTTTGCTGCTGAGAATAATAAAGAAAGAGATATGCATAATAGGAGCCTCCGTGTCTTTAATAAAATTTGAAATTCACTTTGGATTCTCACTTTAGTAAATATTCTTGTAGAACTATTTGTATCATTCAATACTAAATGTTTTTTGAGATCCATATTAAAATTCCTATCACAGAAGTAGAAAAATGTGTAAAAGACAGTCTTTTCATTGTGTTGCCCTCAGAATTAGTTCTATTGGAATCTGTGTTGAAGAGTCAGGGGGCTGGATCTAAAGAACGTTGATTATGGTAACACCATAATTTACTTCTGTAGTGTATTTGAGGCTTTATAATATATATTTAATAATATTTTGTGTATGTATGCTTTTGCTTGGAAAAGTATTATAATGTTTCTTGATTAAACATTGATTTGATGTGATTTTATACAGAAGGAAATTAAGGTTTTAAAGATTACAAATTACATTTTTTTTTTTTTTTTTAATATTTAAAATTTTTATTGTAAATAAAAGTGAAAGGGATACAGAAGAGAAAAAAAGGGGGAGGTGGGGGGAGAGAAACACCACAAAAATGCATGACAATACGAGCACAGCCCATACAAGTGACAAATAAAATACGTTACCTAGTTATTACATCATATATAGTATCAAATAGGCAAAATGAAGCATTGGAACTAGAGTCAGGATGGAAAATGTTAAATACTCAAAAATTCTGTAAATTCAATAAACTACAGTGCGAGGGACTATCGAGAAATAACCTATGTAGTCTAGTCGGGACCCTATACCATCTGTATAGAATTTTGTGCTGTTGATTTGATTAAACCTTTCGATATTGTAATAATGCAGGTCCGTTGTTTTGGTGGTATCTTACTTTTGAGATCTGTTTCCCATTGCTGTGCAGTTTTAGATTGATAATAGGGTGTATGCATGGGTATCAGAATGCAGCACATGGAGATCCGTTTACAACCAGGAGTAATTTTTTCCATGTATTCATATTTGTTCCTGAGGTATGATATTAATGGTAGATTAACCTTGAGTTAGAAGAGAACGTAATTGCAGGTAGCAGTAGAGGGAACTATCTGGGGGTAGTTTCATTACTTTCACTTTCTCAAAGTCCATCAGGGAGTCTAGATGGAACAGGTGGTAGAGATGTGTAACTTTTTTATCGTTCCAAGGTTTTGCATTAAAAGTGGGAATGTGATAAGGTAGTGCAGCTCTTGGGGTTGCGTGAGAGAGGTGGTCAGCATTGCACAATTTTATTCCGAGTGCCATTTTCAGTTATTGCACATTATATTCACATTGGGACTGCTGGTTATCTCTCTCTGAACGTCATACTCATTTCAGGTAACACTGATGTTTCTGCTGATAATACTGATATGCGTCTGAAACCTGCAGCTTCTGTTTCCGCTCCGGAGTTGCTGCTGTCACTGTTCACCATATGGGTCAGGTTTACAGCTGTACAGACTACTCAAGAGGTGCCAGTTTTATTATAGACAAACTTTTTTTTATTTTCTGAAGGAGCAACTGTGCAATATCTTGAACCAAACTTCCTCTGAGACTGATATTTACCCTCTTCTATTTCTCCTTCTGTGGTGTCAGTGTCACATGGGGTTTGTATTGTGCTCCATATTTCTTCGACTTCTATGGGCACTGCCAAACTCTTGGGGGATGGCTTTCTGCATGAAGGCACCTGTGACCAACAGAAGTTATATATGAAACATACAGTGTCATGATCATCAAACAAAACTAAAATTCTAAAACTCCTAGCACTATAATTTATAATTAATTCATCTGTCCATCATACCTGGCAGCTAACTCTATCTATCCTTAGTATTAGAGACTATTCAGAACTTTCTCTAGGATTTTGACTGCTGTCATGTCTCTCCAGGGAAAGGGGAGTCTTGGGCTCTTGTCTTAATATTATTCGCTGCCATGAATAACTAATAAATCTAAACAATAAGGCCTAATATAAACATTGCTGAGAGTCTTACCTGGTCCAGGTACTCCATGAACTTATCATGAACCCCTTTTACAAGGTGTGATGGAATCACAACTGTTTCACCGGCGTGCTGACTCTGCTTATCAGAATGTAGAGCTGCGCATTGTATTACTCCAGCAATTTGAGTATGCTACATGATAAAAGAAACCAAAATGTGAGAATTTACTAATTCAAGGATCCCATTGTACAATGCTATACACTCACATTTACTTGGCCTTTTGGAAACTGGCACACATATACTAGATGTAGCGGAGCTGCAATATTAAATCCCAAAATCCTCTGCTGGTACAGAAAGTAATCCAAAGTAAAGCGCTGGAAATGCAGGCAATATCCTAAATCCACCAGTAACTGGACGAAACACAGTTCCTGGAGTCAACTGACGAGTTTATTCACAAGCTCCAGTATTTATGTGATTCCCCATGCTCTAACAACAGCAATTGTCTTAACTCCTCCATGGTGGTAGCCTGGCTGGCTTGTATCCACCCCTGGGAGGCTTGGTCCAGTTTGTGTGCCCACTCTGCGTGGGAGTCTTTCTCCGGTTTGCGCAACCCTCAAAACCTTCGCCGGTATGCCTCCGGGGTAATGGCGTATCTCTCTAGTATAGCCTGTTTTACCCTAGCATAATCTTTGCTGTCCTCTCTGGGTACGGCCCGATAGGCTTCTGCTCCCTGACCTGACAGTTTGCCTGCCAAAAGGTACCCACACCGTCTGCTCCAAATCATGCAGGTCACATAGCCGCTCAAAGTCTTGCAGATACCCATAAATCTCGTCTTTATCTTCGCAAAACAATTTAAAAGTATGGTATGGGATCTTGGGTTTTACCTGGCTGATGACTGAAGCAGCAGTAGATTCTGCTCTGGAGGGTGAATCTTGCGGTCTGTGTGCCATCACATACTCCGGCACATCCGCCATCAGTACTGTCAGTATTTCCAGGGGTACTGGCTGGGGTAAGAATTCCATCCTGGTCCTCATTTCCTTTTGGAAGGGAGTTTCTTCCATGGCTGGTGGGGGTGTAACGCTGCGAGCTCTGTGTCCCTCCATCAGTTCGCAATAAGCACAGCTTTTGACTTATTGCTGGCTATCTTACCCCTGGCTTCCAGTAGTTCCTTTAACTTCTGCCGTTTCAATGCAGTGTAATCTGTCTTCATTCACCTCTGTGTTCGGTTCTTTGTTGCATCCGAATTGCCATTCACTTTCCTGTTCGGTAGTTTCAATTACCCGAACACCGCTTTTCGGCTGTAAGGTTGGATCCCGTCGCTTGCCACCAATTGTAGCGGAGCTGCAATATTAAATCCCCAAATCTCCGATGGTACAGAAAGTAATCCAAAGTAAAGCGCTGGAAATGCAGGCAATATCCCAAATCCCCCAGTAACCGGACGAAACACAATTCTGGGAGTCAACTGACGAGTTTATTCACAAGCTCCAGTATTTATGTGATTCCCCATGCACGGGGTTTTCTTAGTCACTTTACAGGGGTATTACAGTAGAGGACTACATGGGGAACCGAACATACACTGCTGTACGTGAGGGATACTCCCACTAGAATATCCTGTTAAGTGGATTATCCCTCCGTACAGCTGAACCGTATTTTAACACAAAAATATATAACTTTAACATTATTCGTGTGATTCTACTAACTGACCGTTTGGTAGATAGCTGGGGTCTGAGCGCACACTTCGTGAAAGTACCACTCAGATCCCCGTACAAATAACCGAACGCCGCATGAAACACACTTTATTTTACATTCTCATTAAAAGTACCGAATACACATTAGGGAATAAACTACCGAAGGACCGGTGCTTCCGAACGGCCTGGAAGTCCAGCTGTGTTCGCGCCGTCGAGTAGCTGATTTTAGTTCCAGGCGCTCGACGACTAAACACCGCTCGGCTAACAAAGGATCCAAGATGGCCGACCGCCGTGTGGTCGGTAGCCGAACAACGGCCACCCAGGAAAGCACTTAACCACCGATTGCTACAATGTTGCAATTGGTTAATGGGAGCCACACGACCCTCTATGTGTGGGCTCCCATTCGGTACTTTATTCATTTCACAAACAGTGTGTAAAGTCACTGTTCGTGAAACTACCATATGAATGCTAGCGGCTTTCGGCCGTTAGCATACGAATACTCTGTATTGCAAAAATACACGAATACATTCATACACAAAATAACAGCAGCTTTTACAGACAACCTTCAGATTTTACACAGTAGGACCTAAAGTGGCTAGGTTTGCCACAGTAGAATTTTACAAAAACTCTGCTGCTGTACGTGAGATGGTCATAAACCCTGAAAAACATTATACCGTCCTGTTTAGTAATGTGTGAAAGGGATGATGCATTTGCTGGTTGCAGGAACATTCTACATTATAAACGTGCCAAAAACAACCAAACTGGCACCTCCAGCAATTTGCAAGTCACAGCAAAACTGTAAAATCCTAAAATTTTAGAAAGTAGAGAGGTGAGTAAAAACTTTATTTTGTTTTATAAAAATAAGGGAAATAGTAATATTAGAATTGCAAAAAATGAGATGTTCTGTTCTTTGCTGTAAATGATGTGAAGTACGTGTTACGTCTTTATTCATTTATGGGAAAGAAACTGGCCAGCCAGAGCTTGTTACTGCATGTAAGTAAACAAACTATGTTACCTACTGGCCATTCCATAGTCTGACCTACATGAACTTTGAAATTAATATTAATATTCCATTACATTCTGTAAATATTATACGGGAATAGTATTTATCAGGACTGTTTATCCCATTGGCCATGTGGAAGTTTATCCAGTACTGTTTGTGGGAGGTTCACAATATAAAAGACTGGGAGGATTTTGAGGTTCCCCCAAAGACTGAGCTATGCCGTGCACCTATAACTTCATTTCTGTTTTTGAGGTTTATAAGTTCTTACCAATTAAAATGTCAGGCCAACCATCATAACCAGTACAGCACACAGGAGATCTGCAGCATTTTCAATCTGGTTTTAGATATACCTAAAATAAAAATACATAATTAAATTAAGTATTAATCAGTGATTTTTATTATTTTTTTTTACTTTGGCAGTGGAGGGTCCCTTTATATGTTTTTTAATATAATCTTTTCTACGCGGTTTGAAATGAAATAGATGTAAATGAAGTATAATGTAAAAATACAAAAAAACCACAGCTTTAGTATATGACAGGATCCTTTAGCCATATACATACACCGTGAGTCAGACAGTTTGAAATCCCACCTTTAGTATATGACCCGATCCTTTAGCCATATACATACACAGTGAGTCAGACAGTTAGAAAACCGACCATTAGACTCTATGGTCTTACTTGTTTAACTCCCTCTCTTTCCCTTTGTAGAAAAAATTAAATATTCTACACCAGGGGTAGGCAGCCTTTGGCACTTCCGATGTTTCGGACTACATCTCCTATGATGCGTTGCTAGCATTATAGCTGTAAGGACATTATGGGAGATGTAGTCCACAACATCTGGAGTGCCAAAGGTTGCCTACCCCTATTCTATGCCTTCCACGTTGTCTTTACTTTTCTTAGATTCTCGTTCTTTCCCAGTAACTGTCTCTTACCTTCTATTGAGGTGCCTGCTAGTCTCTCACAGGACAGGATTTTCGTGAAGTAGAATCACGCAGCTTTATTGAAAAGTACAAGTCGCTCTCTTAATGCTGTAGAGAAGGGACTAAGTCCAGCTGCCGAACATCACTCTTTGATAAGGAAAGAAGACACATTTTAATTGTAGCAGCTGGCTTAACACTGGGTTCAATGATAAAATACATTTGTTGGTAAACACTCTATAATAAGACAGCACTCTGTAATGAAACGGTATTCTATAATGAGACAGCACTCTATAATAAGACAGCACTCTAGCAGTCTTTTTTTTTTTACTAACGTGAGAATTCAACGTGAATTTCACATTTAATTCCAAAGTACCTGAACTGAAAGCATAGCGAACAGAGAGAATGTTTCCATTTTGGTAACTTTGAACTTAAATTTGAAATTCACTTTATATTCACCTTGGATTCTCACTGTAGTAAATAATCGTGTAGAACTTCTTGTATCATTCAATACTGACCACATATGTCTATTTTTTGAAGCAGCGACTGCGCAGACGTCGCAGGATACATCCCAGTCTTGAGATGGTCTTCTTCTGAGACTCATTTTGGCTTTTTTTAGCCTCTTCTATTTCTCCCTCTGTGGTCTCGGTCTCACAGGGAGTTTGGATTGTGCTCCATATTCCTTGGACTTCTATGGGCACTGCCAAACCCTCGGGGGATGGCTTTCTGCATGGAGGCACCTGTGGCCAACAGAAGTTATATGAAACACAGTATCGTCATCAAACAAAACTAAAGTTATACAAGTTCTAGCACTGGAATTTATAATTAATCCATCTGTCCCTCATACCTGGCAGCCAACTCTATCTATTCGTAGTATTAAAGACTATTCAGAACTTTCTCTGGGATTTTGAGTGCGGTCATGTCTTCTCCTGGGAAAGGAGAGTCTTGGGCTCTTGTGTTAATATAATTCTCTACCATTAATAACTAGAGAATCTAAACATTAAGGCCTAATATATACATTGCTGAGAGTCTTACCTGGTCCAGGTACTCCATGAACTTATCATGAACCCCTTTCACAAGGTGTGATGGAATCACAACCGTTTCACCCTCGTATTCACTCTTCTTATCAGCATGTAGAGCTACGTGGTGTATCACTCCAGCAATCCGAGTATGCTACATGTTAAAAGAAACCAAAATGTGAGAATTTACTAACTGAAGATCCCAGTGTACATTGCTATACATTGTCATTGATAGGAAGGATGTGGCCCCTACTCACCGCTCTCAGCAGCCAAGCATCGTGTTCTTTCTGCCTTTCCAGCAGCTCATTTCGGAGCTGTCCCAGCTGTTCTTCTATTTGCTGAGCCATTATCGCTCCTGTGATTAGCTCCTTTCGTTTCTCCTGGTTTAATCCTTTCTTTATAAATGTTAGAAAGGTGTTTAAACTCATGGTGGCAAACTCACTCAGTAATTCTGAGAATGTAATATGTAGAAAATAAATGGCTTATTCGCAATGATCGCCAGGTGTATACACTGCAGATGCTGAATATACACTGGTGAAGGCACTAGGCAGAGATAGGTATTGAAAGGATTATGTCTATGACATCACAGACAGTGTCTTACATCAATGAATGTGGGTGTGGCTAGTTAGAGTAGATGTAATCCAGACACACCCATTTAATTGTTAATGTAACCCCGCCCACTTGACCATATAAGGTGTTAACCCTTAGAGTACCAAACGTGATAATGTGGCCTTATCTGGTAATATACATACTAAAATACATCACATAATTTGTTTGCTGACCCTTACTTTTTTATTTTCTTTTTTAAGCAGTAATAAACCTTTATTAAGAAATAAGTTTTCTAACTAATATCTTGGGAGCATCATTGGTTCGAAGAAGAATTTCTTCCACTTTGCTTCTCCAACTTTTTGTTTCATTTTCTTTCTATGTATGCTTGAGAGGAACTCCCTGTATTCATTATACTCTTTTAAAGTGCAAACAACCTAAACAAGAGATTTTTTTTTATTCAGTGTCATTCAGTTAAATTTATGTATGCAATATGTTAGTGTAAAATGAAATGGTAGTGGCATGTTGATTGTTTTTGTTTTTTTTATCCTACCTTATCATCACTGATGATAAATCCCTGCTGACGCATACGTTGTAGAGGTACCTTACCCTGGTATTACACATGTAAGAACAATGATCACATTAATACTACTGCAAGTAATGAACGAAACAATGTTGCACTTATTACATGTAATATTAGAAACAATTATAGGTTTATTTTTACATTTAATGATTCAGTCTTTATATGACCATTTAAAGGACCACTATAGTTTTCCTGGCACTATAGTGCCCTGAGGGTGTCCCCACCCTCACGGTACCCCTCCCGCCGGGTTCTAGGGGGAGGAAGGGGTTAAATTTACCTCTTTCTCCTGCTCCGGGCGGGGAACTCTCCGCCTCCTCTCCTCCTCCTCGTCTGAATGCGCATGCGCGGCAAGAGCCATGCGCATATTCAGCCAGTCTCATAGGAATGCATTCACAATGCTTTCCTATGGACGCTGGCGTCTTCTCACTGTGATTTTCACAGTGAGAAGCACGCAAGCGCCTCTAGCGGCTGTCAATGAGACAGCCACTAGAGGCTGGATTAACCCTAATATAAACATAGCAGTTTCTCTGAAACTGCTATGTTTATAGACAAAAGGGTTAAACCTAGCTGGACCTGGCACCCAGACCACTTCATTAAGCTGAACATAACATACCAATGTTTGTTTATTTTATGATTTATTTATTTTAATATGACTTTGGGAATTAATATTACAAATAATGGGGATTTGCACTGATCTTAACTTTGCTGTACTTTTATTATACTTAATTAGTTTTTTCCCATCAATCTGTTTAATCTAATTAGATTGTTTCTTTACTATCCTTTCTTCATAGACTATTTAATGAAATTATTATTATTTTTTAAATATCAGATTGTTCTAAAAATGAATTCTCATCCTTACAATTTCTGTTAAATTTAAAAAAAAATTGTCCCTTAGGAATATGTTTTCAGCTATGGCTGTAAATGACAGTTCTCCATATTAATGTAGATGTTTTCGGGGATATTTGTTTAAGAACGGCCATTATCTTCAACAAAAATTTCTAAATCTAATAAATTGGCTTTACTATAGCTGACATCGTCGGTCAATTAAATCCCCCCAATTGTTAAAATTCTAAAACTTCAAAAATAGCTGAAAGGCAGTCTGGTTGACCCTTCAAATAAAATAAAATTATTAATAAATCCAATAAATCTTTTACATAGGACCAAATATGCGCTCCAGTCATGCTCAGAAAGAAAACTAAAACATTTTCCTAAAAGAAAAAGTGTGAGTATCGGGAATTAAGGAGCAGAATAAACTGGTATCATGAAGAGGAAGGATAGACACCTTAGAAAAACATTCCACTGTCGACATGCGTTGTCTGCTTTTGTGTGATTATATCTGTGTATGGAAGCAATATATGCATATTCACTAACATGTAAGCAATTTTGTTATTTTTGAATACATTTATTATACTTTGATTTCATTGGTAGGATATCTCCTTTCCTTTGTGGTTACTTGCCTCTTTTGTGACAACCTATTTGGAGGAACTTAAGTGGCCCTTTACCTGCATGCCAGATTGAAACATCTCTTACCCTACTTCTATACTTGAGCCAGTATTATACAAACATACTGTGCTATGATTTTGTATAATTGTGCCTTTAACAGTAATAAGGTTATATGCATTTATATCCTTATCTATATATTATTGGTGAGCTATTTATTTAGGAGGGGTTTGTGGTTGTTTGGTGCGATTTGTGTTAAATCAGTTTCACCGGTGATCTTAGCAACACTGATTTACTTTTGATTCACATTTTTGTTTGAGTGCCCACCGTAATAAATTTTTTGGATGTTTGAAAAGCGGAAAAGTACTTGTAAATGACAATCAGTCAATGCTGACTATGTTTGCTTGCTGACCAGCTAGTGTATGTGCAGGTTATAACTCTATCTGCCATGGACGGACAGGTGTCTGGAAGCTGAACATTATGCCTTTTAAAATGTCATATTATTTTCACTGTGCAGAGCAGTAAGAGGCTAATGCTGCATCTGGCACAATTTGGGTCAGTGTGTAATGGATTACCATTCACATGCAGCAGATGCATGTCTCTTTCACATGCTCTCTGTGCATCTGCAAACATTTCTAATACCGGTGGATGACTGTAATCATTGCAATACCATTATTGGATTAGTAGCAGTCTGGTACATGAGTATAAGAGGAAAGCTGAGAGTGACACAATTGTTGGCATGGCATGGCAATCTGCATGACAAATAGCACTGGAATTGCAGGTAGAGTCGATGGTGCAGTGGTATTTTGAGCAAGTGTAGTGAAAACTATAGTAGATGATTGTATAATTGGTGTTTTTAGCTGAAGGTTCTCTAGTAGATGTTGTAGCTAGTGCTTTTCCAATAGATGCGGCAACTGGTGGTTCTCCAGTAGGTGTTATAGCTGATAGTTCTCCAGCAGATGTAGCTTTTGGTTCTCCAGTAGATGTTATAGCTGGTGTTTCTCTAGGAGATGTAGTAGCTGATGGTTCTCCAGTATATGTTGTTGCTGGTGGTTCTCCAGTAGATGTTATAGCTGATGGTTCTCCAGTAGATTCTGTAGCTGATGGTTCTCCAGTAGATTTTATAGCTGGTGTTTCTCTAGAACAGGGATAGGCAACCTTTGGCACTCCAGATGATTTCGACATGGCATCATGGGAGGTGTAGTCCAAAACATCTGGAGTGCCAAAGGTTGCCTATGCCTGCTCTAGAAGATGTAGTATCTGATGGTTCTCCAGTAGATGTTATAGCTAGTGGTTCTCCATTAGATGTTGTAGCTGATGGTTCTCTGGTAGATTTTGTTGCTGGTGGCAATACAGTCAGTATCAGATGTTCAGGGGAGCAGGAGGTTTTATTTAAGCTCTATCACAGAAACCTGCACCATCCTGATGTGGCTAATAACTTTTTCAGCAGCCTTACTTATTATTCGTAATCAGTGACATAAACACCTACCCAGGCCTGTCTTTGTTTTAAAAGGCCCCAAGCAAGCCCCTTCTTATGAGATATTGAGCATAATAAAAGACCCACAAGTAGCAGCTTACTTGGCTCTTACATACCATTTTCTGCTCTCTGTTTCTGTTATCTGGTAATTTTAATGTGTATGGATTGGCATTTGATGTATGATTTGCTACTTTGTCTCAGGACAACATTTCCTTATTATCTTCTAATATTTTACAGGTAATAATTACCTTTCTTTCCCAAGACTCCACCCATGATATTGTGGAAAGTACTTGAGCCATACTAATAATGGGCTATTGACAACATACTGAGCTTTGAACACGCTTTAAATAGAAATGTTAACCCCTTAAGGACTGAGCCAAATGTACACGTTGTGAACGAAACAAAATGTAAACAAAACCTGGCATTTGCGTTACATGTCTGTCCAACCGTAATTCACCTCTTTCATATTAAATGCACCCACCCTTATTATATATCATTTTATTCAGGGGAAACAGGGCTTTCATTTAATATCAAATATTTAGCTATGAAACATAATTTAATATGAAAAGAATTGGAGAAAATAAGATTTTTTTTATTTTTTTAGTTCTACATGACATTTTAACTGTCAATGTCATAATACTGTTTGCTTTTACTGCAATAAAATACACATATTTGTATTCAGCAAAGTCTCACGTGTAAAACAGTACCCCCTATGTACAGGTTTTATGGCGTTTTGGGAAGTTACAGGGTCAAATATAGCACGTTACATTTGAAATTGAAATTCGCCAGATTGGTTACGTTGCCTTTGGGACTTTATAGTAGCCCAGGAATGAAATTTACACCCATAATGGCATACCATTTGCAATAGTAGACAACCCAAGGTATTGCAAATGGGGTATGTCCAGTCTTTTTTAGTAGCCATTTGGTCACAAACGCTGGCCAAAGTTAGCGTTATTATTTGTTTGTGAAAAATTCAAAAAAACGCCAATTTTGGCCAGTGTTTGTGACTAAGTGGCTACTAAAAAAGACTAGACATACCCCGTTTGCAATACCTTGGGTTGTCTACTATTGCAAATGGTATGCCATCATAGGGGTAATTTTCATTCTTGGGCTACCATAGGGTCTCAAAGGCACTGTAACTAATCTGGCAAATTTTAATGTGAAAAAAATGAACCGCAAGCCTTATATTTGACACTGTAACTTTTGAAAACACCATAAAACCTGTACATGAGGGGTACTTTTACTGGCGATATCATTGTTGTAATACATTTTACTGTTTTGAAACACTAATATTTGTATTC